GTTGAAGATTTTGATGATACGTATATGGTGAATATTCCATGGAGGTTTGAGGGTAAGGAATTCCTCTAGGAATTTAGCACAGAAAAATCCTACGGAAATAAAAAAGAAAACTAACTAAAAAAATCTCGCTGAAATTAATTAACCCTTAAAACCGACACCGTCCCCGACAACTGCGCAAAAAACTTATGTTAGTTTTCTCGCACTTAAAATAGATTATAATATAGTTGTGTAAGTACGAGTATTGTCTCCACAGGGACAAACAAAAGGGAATTAAGAATTAAATAAATTCAGCGATTAAAAATAAATAAAATAAATGCGTCGTGCGAGATTTCATTGATTGGGAAAATTAAATTGCGAAAAAAAGAAATTAAACTAATGGGTTCTTTCTAATTAATGACGATAGGGAACAGAGATTGATTCCGGGGTAATCAGATTTCTGGCTGATCAGATTTAATTACATGAAATTAAATTAATTTAGCCTAGCTAATCATTACTAAGTTCTTACCGCTCTCGCGGCGTAGAGTACAATAATTTAGGGGACCAGGCTGATCTCTCGTGCGACAAGATCCTAAACTATTGCCAAAACAAGCGAGCTTACGGCCCGTTAATCGCTACTAACCTCTTAACGAACGATTAAGTGTGTGAATGTGTCCTAGAATAAATTACATCTCTCTTAATTTATTCTACCAGCAATTGTAATTCTAGTCGCAATTCTAGGTTACAAGAGATATTGATTAAATCATTCAAACACAAATTAAATCAAGATTCACCCCTTCATCAATCCCAATTCCTTAATTAAGACTACTCACAACTTATAATTGAAGAATCAATAGAATTGAGAAGAATAGAATTAATTTTCATTAATTAAAAAGTAGGAACTTACAAAGAATCCCAAAAGATTGATGAACAAGGCTGAAAAGTTCTCTAAATTTCGTGCTAAGCACTCTCTCTAAGCTCCCCTTGAAAACGGGGGTTTACAGGTTGTTTAAATAGAAAAGACGGAGCAATTCTGACCGAAATAGGACAACGGGAGCGCACGCACGGCACCCACGCACGGCGTGCGTCCCCCTGTGCGTCTGACGCAGTATTCGCGCAAAAACGTACCATGCACGACCGAGTGCGGTTGGCAGTAACTCCTCGCCTCTTCCTTCTACATGCAACGCGTGCCTAACTTCGGGCCCACAACGTGCGCTCTTCTCTTCCGAATTTGATGATGTTTCGTTCATCAAAGTTGTAGATAATGAAGTCATCTATTCACCACAACTTGCAAGACGTGATTTTAATCAACCAATAAAAAGATATGAATAACATGGTGGAAGGTCCCATTCTGAAATCGCAACAGGGATCATCTGACTTCTTTGTCTGTTTTCACCTTCTTTCTCTCAGAGTTTCGCGATGGTGTCTTCGTATGATTTGTATCCTTTGAAGTTGGCTTTGATATGGAACTTGAATCGTGTTCTTTGGATGCTTCTACAAAACGATATGATTGAACGATTGACAGAAGGTCATCCGTAGCGCCGCTTTCAAGCTCTATACGTCTTCTTTTGATCCCGTAACCGTTTCTAGAGCTCTTTTGTCTTCAAATCTTCAACTTAAACCTCCCGGAGACCTCCAAATCTCTCAAATCAATCTCTAATTCTTCTCAACTCGTCCCGATTGCTTCTCAAGCGTTGATGTCGGACTCAAATTCCCTGATTTTGACTCCAAAAGACATAAAACTCGGACCAACACCTCGTAACTATGACTTGAGCTAAAATGAGACTTGTGACACAAAATAATTAGAGAAACCATCAAAAGTCGATCTAAACATGCATCAAATACGTGTCTAAATACGGAATTATCATGTCTCTTCCTTAATAGTAGGCTTTAATTCTTGCTTTTTCTGTTTTTTCCACCAAGCAAAAGTTTCGCGCGACATGCAGTTTTGCACAATTTCTACTTAGGGCTGCAAAGCCTACAATTCGGAGAAACCAAAAATCCTATACTACTTTACCTAAACGCACAATCCCTCCATCAAACCTTCCATCTTTTCTCTCCCCATTTAATCATTGTTCTCTCACCCCAAATCCATTTACTACGTCCTTTGGATGGTTACCACCAGAATTCCCTTCCTTTTACTATTTTTTCCTTAACAATACATTTCAATTCTTGCTTTTTCCATGTTTTCCCCACCAGAAAAAAGCTACGCGCGACCTGCGATTTTGCACAATTTCCGCTTGTGCTGCAAAACCCCGTAGTTTGAAGGAACCAAAAATCTGGTTGAAGAAGCCGAAGACCGTAGCCTTCACATCAGAGGACAATTTCGTCATTTCTCAAAGTCACAAGCACCATAGAAGCATATATTAAAGTTGTGTGTGACTATAACATCTTTCCTCGACAATAAGCCAACACGTGATAGCAACAATCCTTGACTTTTGTCTATGATGGCAGTGGCGGACCCAGAAAATCAGATCCATGGGGTCCCCACTCTAATGTAATTCTATTTAATATAAAATTAATAAAAACAAACGTAAAATACCGAAGTAGCATAATGTTTCATAGTTAACGTACATCCCAAGGTTGAAATGACCCATTTTGAAGGGAATAACTACAACGCACCTCATCTTAAACATTAGGACGAAAACAAACAATTTTTTTCTTAATCCAGAATCAACTTCCAAAGATGCAAAATCAACATGTTGGTCATATAGATTATCAGTATGGCCGGAGCCCGAAGGTGTCACTAATGACATGTTTCACAGCTTCGGGTATCACTTTGGCGGTGTCACTAAGACGGTGTCACTGTGGTTGCCGGAGGTGTCACGGTGGCCGTCGGTGGTGTCACTGTGGTCGGTGGTGTCACTGTGGTCGGCGGTGGTGTCACTATGGCCGACGATGGTGTCACTGTGGATGCGTCACTTTGGCCGGTGTCACTATGGCCGACGATGGTGTCACTGTGGTCGGCGGTGGTGTCACTATGGCCGACGATGATGTCACTGTGGATGCGTCAATTCTCTAGCAAGTTTTACAAAGACACAGTTTAAAGAAAAATTTTCAAAAAATTTGACATGACTTCCCTATGAATATACCACTAACACGTGTGCATGCTAACTCTAGAAATCCCATGTGACAACTACTGTCTGAATGCCCAATTCACCCCCCAAACTTAAACTTTGGCATCGCCCTCGATGGCCAAAAATGCACTATGCACAAGGGGGTAAAGGGGAAAGGGTCACACGTGCTGAACTCAACTCAAGTCAATTATTACAAACAGGCGAGTATAAGAGTCATAGGAACTTCCCTAAGGCGTTGTTCGGTGTAGAACAAAACTGAGTCAAATTTTGAATCTCGGCATATCATCCCCAAAGCAAGACCCTGAGCTGCAAAAACAAAACACACAAACACAAAAACAAAAAAGAAAACACCCCGTTTTTTTTGTTTTTTTACGGGGGTTTTCTTGAAAGCAAACAAACAAAGACAAAAGTGCAGAATTAAACTTGGGTTGCCTCCCAAGAAGCGCTATTTTTAACGTCGTTTTCCCGACGCGACTACCCCATAGGCTCTCAAATAGCAAAAATTGCAGTGGTGCACTAATAATCAACGTCTCCAGCTTCCTCTCAACAAATGCCATTAGGTGTCGCAGACCTTTAAATTCTCGAGTACACGTAGGCAGCACATGGTCTTCATAACCCTCACCAGCACAGAAGTGAAGTATGAAACTCTCATCCTTTTCGAGCGGACAAAGAACATGAGTGAAAACTTTGATTACTCTAGGTGTCACTGGAAGCTCAAGAGATGTTTCAAAGCAAGGATTAGGAGCAACACCATAATCGAACTGCACCATAGAAAAGTCTTCATCTTCCTCACAAATATAATGAAAATTCACAACCTCTCTTCTGGACTCTGTATCACTCCCCATGAAGGCATCCCAACTCTCGTTAACATAGTTCTTATCAATATCATCCCGGATGATGTTGTCATTCTCCGCATATAAAGAAATATCATCATCAAGGAGTGAATCAAAGACATACAAATCTAAAATCACGTGAGAGTGGATCGGTGCATGTGTACAAGAGGGAAATTCTTGCTTGTGGAGCAGGACTTCTTCATTATGGACATCATCTACCTCGCCTCCACCCTCTTGGAGCATGTAATCATCTTTTCACAACTCATCTTCAATACCCAAACCTACCTCAGTGGCTCCATCATCATGACTGATCTTCTCCTTGCCCTCCTCAGGTGTTGAGACTAATGGTAAATTAAACGGCTGGGGGGCTTCTGTATGAAAATCACAGTGATTTGTGACTTCATCAGTTACAGCTTGTACCGTTTCAAACTGTGACACCCCAAAAATCGAAATAAAAATAATTTTTAGCCAGATAAATCATAAAATATTACGGAAGTGACATTTTAATTATTAATTGAGTCAGACAAAAATGGTCCGATAAAAGAAGTAATATTTTATACCAGGTACCAATTATACATATCACATAATAATTATTCTTTTAATTTGTGTATAAAATATAATATACTCCTAGCCATGCTTAAAATAAAGATGGAAAGTCTTTATTTGTGACCACATCATGCATGTCATCATACACACATATACATATGATATATCTATACACATACATAACGATACATACTATAAATACGTTAGTAATAATAATAATAATAGTATGAATAAGATAAAATATACCTTATTACACTTTTTACACCAACATGTTTTTATATGGAACCATATAAAAACACACCAAATTTGACTTTTCCACTAATATAACCATGCGGCCGCATACACAATACCATACATAGGCATACATATAACATACCATACTTACATCTACATACATACATGCTATTATTACTACGTTACATAACATACGCGGTATACATAATAAAGAGTTGCACACGCCGGGTTTAAAGACAAAACACACATGCGTGAAACCTATATACCATATACGACTCCGGAATCATCGTACGATCATTATTAACAAAAATAATTACGTAGTAAATTTGATCGGCGAACATATGTAACCGACGCCTAGAACCTTCTTTAGTGGGTATAAATACCCAGCAAACCCTACACCAACGACAAAGGATATATACACACATCATCTAAAACTACTCGGATGGAAGTTTAGTTCAATCGTTGGCCGCATATACACTTGTGCAGGACGTTGCCAGAGAAGAGGAAGATCCGACGACCATTGTACCATGGAGAACTGCCTTGACCGTCGCAAGTCGTGCTGGAGAAAGTAAAGCTCTGCACCATGGAGAACTTCGAACATCATAGCCGGAGGAACGATGACATGTTGTACGTGTTCGATCCGGAGAAGAGGAGGCAAGTCCACCGTCGTCGCTCGCCTTAACTGTCCTCGAGTGCCGTCATCATCGCCGGAGTACAATAGGATCCAGAGGTTCGCCGGACTGATACGCTCAACGCCGGAGTTGGTACGCGCCGGAAGAGAAGGGGGAGATCGCCGGAGGACAACCCAAGTCATTGCCGCCGGACCACAATGCTGCTCACGAACCGGAGGAAAAGGAAGTTTGCCGGAGGAAGGGGAGAAGCCGAAGTTACTGCCACCAAACCGCAAACGCAATGGTTGTGTCTCCGCTGCCTTGCCAGAGCGTCTGTCCGTGTCGGGAGAAGATTTCAGCCGGACTCTGTCTTCGTTTTCTTTGTTCGCCGGTACGAAGGAGATGACGTACGTAGTTATACTCTGCACTATCTTCATTCATATGCGAGGTTATAAGTTTATAACTGGGCCGATCATTTAGTAAGGCTTATTGGGAGCAAATTAAAAAGTGATCTAATTAATAACAAGGTTGACCAATTTAAAATAATAATAATTAAGTTGTGCCAATTAAGCTCAAGTTTATTAGGATTTAGGGTAAAATAGCAAAAGTGGAATAATTATTAATTTTAGAATTTTAATATTTTTAGAAGGTGAATTTGAAGAAGATCGAGATAGAAGCCTTGGTTAGGATTTATTGCAATTTGAGGTAAGTTTCTCTGCCAATCTAAAATTGTTTCCTCGTATTATATGCTTATTATGCATTATGTGAATAAGTGTGAATTGTTGAAATTTGTGTATGAGATTTGTGAAGAGATATTATATATATGGTTGTTGAGAAATATAAATTAAGTACTTTTGGGGTATTAAATATTTTTAAATACCTTCAAGACTTTTTAGAGAAATTAAGAAGTATTTTTGAAATATTGTTAAGCGAAGACAAAATTTACATTTTAATAAGAAGTGAGCATCTCAGGAGTAATTCGAGGTGTCGGTTTTCCACGTCCGGATAAATGTGGAGGGTGATTAGGTCTGCTACTACTAAGAAGTACAGTTTGAGTTTAAAAGTGATATTTGGATCGACGATCCCTTTTAAGAAGAAGTTAGAGTAGTAGTAGTCCCTAATCATTCAAGATATCTTATTCAGGGGTTTTTGGTAGACTGAGTCTCGACTACTCGTTACGACTTACTACTCGGAGGGTTTGGAATCCCTTTTAGGGGGTGTGCACACTTAAGGTAGTCGTTTCGTTTCCAACAGAGCAGTTGTGGTACCGGCACTTGTTCGGGGTGGCCGTCCGTAACCACGGTCCACCGGGCTCTACCGAAAGGTTGAGCACCGCCCTTCTAAATTACTAGGAAGTTAGAGAAGAAGTGATTTTTGAGGAAATCAAAGAGAAGAGTTATTATGAAGTTTTAAAGAGAAGTTGAGGATTTTTGTAAAGAAGTAGTTTTGAGAAAAATCAAAGTGAAAAGAATTTCGATGGTGTGAGTATTTTTATATATTATTATATAAAGATCTATTTTAGTCAAACATGATTATTTTACGGGGTTGGGTAGTACTTACTTAGCTCTAAAGCTAATTTTTGTTATTTTTCTTGTCCCTATCTCCTCCATTAAATTTTAACAGGTGATGAGTTGGATGCTTATGAGGATTGATGGATTGCATGGCCCGAGAGCGAATTAGTAGTCGCCTTATTTATACTAGTCATGAAATAAACATTTACTTTACAAACACTTTATTTTTATTAAATTAGTTGTTATGTTTTAGTTGCCTGTGCATCCGGTTGAGAGATGACCGGATGTGGCGGTACACCCATTTCCCTTATTAAGACTTCCGCTGTACTTTCTTTAAATTTTCATTATCAATAAAAAAAAAGATTTTATTTCAATTATATCAACGTTTTGGGTGGGAAATTTGGGGGTGTTACACAAACTTTTTCCTGTATTCTTCGAACAATAACTTTACACTATTATCTTCTTGTTCATCTTCAAACACAGGTGGGTCTTCAAAAGCATCATGAAGTGTATCATCCATCATACACCCAGCTTCGCACTCTGACTCAATGCCATCATCGTCCCTATTGGTCTCCTCAGGTTGGGCTTCTGTGTCGCTAGGACGGGATCTCTTCGACTCCTTAGAATGAGCTCCTGCCAGCTGCTTCATCAAGCTATTTATATCCCGCGTTATAGCTGAAGTGCTCTGCATGATACTCTCTTCGAACTCAGACAGACTCTCTGAAAGTGTCTTCTTAAATTGATTCTGTGGCTCATTATGCGGCAAGAATGTAGGAATGAATGAAACATTTGTGTTCCTAACTTGTGGGGAGGATGAAGATGGGTATGCAGTTGCCTAGCAAGGATGGTCATATGTAGGTTTAACAGGGCAAAAAGATATATGGTGACATCCTCCACAGAAGTAACAAATGCTATTATTAGGCAGAAAGGGTTGTGTGGTTGGATGATATTAATATGACAGTTGAAGATTTTGTGGTGTTGGAGAATAATTTTGATGAGGTGTGTAGTATTGAGGAGGAGGAGTGTAAGGAGGGTATGTCGTATATGGTGAATATTCCATGGAGGTTTGAGGGTAAGGAATTCCTCCAGGAATTTAGCACAGAAAAATCCTCCGGAAATAAAAAAGAAAACTAACTAAAAAAATCTCGCTGAAATTAATTAACCCTTAAAACCGACACCGTCCCCGACAACTGCGCAAAAAACTTATGTTAATTTTCTCGCACTTAAAATATATTATAATATAGTTGTGTAAGTACGAGTATTGTCTCCACAGGGACAAACAAAAGGGAATTAAGAATTAAATAAATTCAGCGATTAAAAATAAATAAAATAAATGCGTCGTGCGAGATTTCATTGATTGAGAAAATTAAATTGCGAAAAAAAAGAAATTAAACTAATGGGTTCTTTCTAATTAATGACGATAGGGAACAGAGATTGATTCCGGGGTAATCAGATTTCTGGCTGATCAGATTTAATTACATGAAATTAAATTAATTGAGCCTAACTAATCATTACTAAGTTCTTACCGCTCTCGCGGCGTAGAGTACAATAATTTAGGGGACCAGGCTGACCTCTCGTGTGACAAGATCCTAAACTATTGCCAAAACAAGCGAGCTTACGGCCCGTTAATCGCTACTAACCTCTCAGCGAACGATTAAGTGTGTGAATGTGTCCTAGAATAAATTACATCTCTTTTAATTTATTCTACCACCAATTGTAATTCTAGTCGCAATTCTAGGTTACAAGAGATATTGATTAAATCATTCAAACACAAATTAAATCAAGATTCACCCCTTCATCAATCCCAATTCCTTAATTAAGACTACTCACAACTCATAATTGAAGAATCAATAGAATTGAGAAGAATAGAATTAGTTGTCATTAATTAAAAAGTAGGAACTTACAAAGAATCCCAAAAGATTGATGAACAAGGCTGAAAAGTTCTCTAAATTTCGTGCTAAGCACTCTCTCTAAGCTCCCCTTGAAAACGGGAGTTTACAGGTTGTTTAAATAGAAAAGACGGAGCAATTCTGACCGAAATAGGACAACGGGAGCGCACGCACGGCACCCACGCACGGCGTGCGTCCCCCTGTGCGTCTGACGCAGTATTCGCGCAAAAACGTCCCACGCACGACCGAGTGCGGCTGGCAGTAACTCCTCGCCTCTTCCTTCTACATGCAACGTGTGCCTAACTTCGGGCCCACGGCGTGCGCTCTTCTCTTCCGAATTTGATGATGTTTCGTTCATCAAAGTTGTAGATAATGAAGTCCTCTATCCACCACAACTTGCCAAACGTGATTTTAATCATCCAATAAAAAGATATGAATAACATGGTGGAAGGTCCCATTCTGAAATTGCAACATCGATCATCTGACTTCTTTGTCTGTTTTCACCTTCTTTCTCTCAGATTTTCGCAATGGTGTCTTCGTATGATTTGTATCCTTTGAAGTTGGCTTTGATATGGAACTTGAATCGTGTTCTTTGGATACTTCTACAAAACGATATGATTGAACGATTGACAGAAGGTCATCCGTAGCGCCGCTTTCAAGCTCTATACGTCTTCTTTTGATCCCGTAACCGTTTCTAGAGCTCTTTTGTCTTCAAATCTTCAACTTAAACCTCCCAGAGACCTCCAAATTTCTCAAATCAATCTATAATTCTTCTCAACTCGTGCCGATTGCTTCTCAAGCGCTGGTGTCGGACTCAAATTCCCTGATTTTGACTCCAAAAGACATAAAACTCGGACCAACGCCTCGTAACTATGACTTGAGCTAAAATGAGACTTGTGACACAAAATAATTAGAGAAACCATCAAATTCGATCTAAACATGCATCAAATGCGTGTCTAAATACGGAATTATCATGTCTCTTCCTTAATAGTAGGCTTTAATTCTTGCTTTTTCTGTTTTTTCCCACCAAGCAAAAGTTTCGCGTGACATGCAGTTTTGCACAATTTCTACTTAGGGCTGCAAAGCCTACAATTTGGAGAAACCAAAAATCCTATACTAGTTTACCTAAACGCACAATCCCTCCATCAAACCTTCCATCTTTTCTCTCCCCATTTAATCATTGTTCTCTCACCCCAAATCCATTTACTACGTTCTTTGGATGGTTACCACCAGAATTCCCTTCCTTTTGCTATTTTTTCCTTAACAATACATTTCAATTCTTGCTTTTTCCATGTTTTCCCCACCAGAAAAAAGCTACGCGCGACCTGCAATTTTGCACAATTTCCGCTTGGGCTGCAAAACCCCGTAGTTTGAAGGAACCAAAAATCTGGTTGAAGAAGCCGAAGACCGTAGCCTTCACATCAGAGGACAATTTCGTCATTTCTCAAAGTCACAAGCACCATAGAAGCATATATTAAAGTTGTGTGTGACTATAACATCTTTCCTCGACAATAAGCCAACACGTGATAGCAACAAGCCTTGACTTTTGTCTATGATGGCAGTGGCGGACCCAGAAAACCAGATCCATGGGGTCCCCACTCTAATGTAATTCTAATTAATATAAAATTAATAAAAACAAACGTAAAATACCGAAGTAGCATAATGTTTCATAGTTAACGTACATCCCAAGGTTGAAATGACCCATTTTGAAGGGAATAACTACAACGCACCTCATCTTAAACATTAGGACGAAAACAAACAATTTTTTTCTTAATCCAGAATCAACTTCCAAAGATGCAAAATCAACATGTTGGTCATATAGATTATCAGTATGGCCGGAGCCCGAAGGTGTCACTAATGACATGTTTCACAGCTTCGGGTATCACTTTGGCGGTGTCACTAAGACGGTGTCACTGTGGTTGCCGGAGGTGTCACGGTGATTGTCGGTGGTGTCACTGTGGTCGGCGGTGGTGTCACTATGGCCGACGATGGTGTCACTGTGGATGCGTCACTTTGGCCGGTGATGACGGAGATGTCACTGCGGAAATTAGGTGTGGGGATGTCACTGCATTAGTTACATTTTTATTTAAATTTAAATGGGATTACTTTTTGGAAATTAGGCTTAGTTTAGTAATATTAAGGGGAAACCCCAACAATTAATTAACTAATACAAAAATGATTTATTTTAGTCAAATTGAGCTTCCATGCCCATGTACTAATTTAATCATAGTAAAAGGAAACTACAAAAAAAGAGAAGCATAGTAACTAAGTGGGGTGTGCAGAGTTTTGATGATCTTTTAAGTTAAAAAAAAAGGGAGTGCGAAGGGGAAACGATGCCCATACCTTCCACTAGATGTAGAGCTTTTAAACCTCAGCTGATTCCGTTCGACCAGTCCATTCTTTTAGAGCTAGACTATTTTTCATTTTATATATACATTTACTAATTATTTTTTATATTTAATGTATATACTATGTATAGGTATTTTTTAAGTCCATGGGGTTCTAGGACCCCGTGGGACACTTAGTGAGTCCGCCACTGATAGCCGTAGCATGTGAAGCCATTATGAGATATGACCGTCTTTGGGATTGATATGGCAATCTTGACATGCACCGACACTACTGAAATCCCCCCTCTAAAACTTCATCCCCAATTTCATCGATAGAAGTCTCGTTCTATTACACATTCTCACATGGTGATTAACATATCAATGGGGTCTTGTGTACTATGGTGCTTTTGAAAAGTAATTTTTTATACATTTATAGAGAAAATGCTATTTAATAAAAAATGATTGATTTTGAAAGTAAAAGTGAATTTTAAAATGTAAATGTTAGTGTTATGTGAATTATAATTTTTTGGTATACTAATTAGGTAGGGGGCGGATTAGGTAAAAACAATACTTACTGTGCATTAGTACGATGCATCTTTATGGTTAATTGTATTGCATATTAATGTTCAAAGTGTTACGTTCAAAAAAATTGATTTGATTACCAAAATGCCAGCGTGCATCTATAGTCTTTAGATCAACTCATCGGATGACTAAGATGAATTTGTAATTTGTAATTAAAAGGTGTTTGTATTTGATCCCTTATTAGATTTATAGTGCTCGAATTTAAACATTACTTGTTCAAAACAAAACTTATAGTTGTTTTTTACTGAAGAAACAAAAAAATGTTATATTAAACAATCCTTAAATTATTTTGAATGGCTTTATTTAGAGTGTTATCGAAGAACTCTAATATAAAATTAAAAAGACCCTTTCGTAACCCCTTTTGACATCCAGCCAGTTTTTATTGATGAGAAATGGTGCTAAATAGGAGCTTAACTTCCCGATTGTAATTAAATAGGACCTTGATTTTTTTAACTCCTAAATAGGACTTAATTTTAAGAAGTTTCCAAAATTGCCCCTGTTTCCTAAATAGCCACCTGTGTCTTC